AAAAATACTGGCTAAGATTGACAGGTGACCAATATATATATAGGTGCAATATATATTTTAATGTTATAAATAGAGTATGCTGCTTCATTTGATGTACATTACCTTTGTCATCAATCAAAGTTAAGGACAAATTGATTTGGTGGCCCATTTCAGCACAATCAGGATCAAAGCAGGATGTAGCAAACGTCTTTGTAAAAATGTATTGCTCCCACTTTCCATCCTTAGAACAAACATGCAGTATTTTACAGTAAGAGATTGAGTATGCAATTTGTTATACAGGATGCAATAGTCTGAAATTTACCTTCCATATCTCAGGGCAATGTAGAATATTCTCTGTACTGTGAAGGCATATACAACAGGATTCACACAGAAAAAAACCTGACGAACCACCACAATCAAGACATCTCAGTTGAGCTGTTTGTGCTTTGCACTTGCTGCATTCTTTATCAAGCTGCAGTAAACCTTCTCGTTTTAGAGAAACTTTRATTAAGTTTGCTCTAATTTCCTGCCAGTGCTTGACAGCACTAGCACTACTTTTTTCGTAGTGGGATGGACCAGGGTCAACTTCAACATTGAAGCGATCACTAGCGTCTGGCAAGTCTAGTATATCGTCAGCTGAAGATGAACTTGCCCCATCATCATCTTGTCGACTATTCACAACACCTTCTAGTATTCTCACGGTGCTCTTCACTCGTTTCACTTTTGTTTGGCCGTCCTCGTCAACAAACTTTTGATAATCTCGGACAATTAACTTCGATTTTCCTCTATTACAGCCACGACTGAAGAACATCACTCACAAAACGTTTTAAAGAATAAAATATCTAAGTGCTTTAGAGGCAAAAATAAAACACTAATTACAAAAAAAAAAGACATATATAATGCGATAAAGATCAGGCGTTCCATTCGGCAAACCCAGAAGAGGTTGGGCGCTAGCTTTATCGCTTTTTACAAAGGTCAGTAACATCTGGTTACAAGGACTTTACAACTTTCAGTAAGCACTGACTCACAACGTACGGGACGGGTGGCTGGTCATAGCAACGTGTTTTATCATCATGCCTAAATCTAGGGATTGCGGTGTAGGGGCCAAAATATCAAAAAACCGGATTCACTAAACCAGAAGTTAGCCTTCCTAGCAGATGATATGCGTGCCTCCGAACGTTTACGACAGAAAATTCCGGATGCAGCGCAGGCTAGTTCTCTGCCTGTATCTGTCAAGCTTTTCCACAGGAAGCCAATCCTTTGATCTTTCGAGGTCCTGTGATCTTGATCTGTCACGATAAACATATCTTCACAGCCGGATAAGTGTAAGCTTTCCGGCATTTTTTCAAACCTTACCGTCTCAGCACGAAATGACTATAGTGGTCTAATACTGGGCTTCCATAAAAATGATTTAAAGAAAATTCAATCACCAAATGTGCACATTATTCCACAGAATGACTTCCACTAAATTTTTCAAAATATTCTGAAATCTGAATTATTTTCTTTAAATTARCACAGAAATTATTTAAGCGCGGTTTTGTCAAGCATTGAAAAATTTATCATCAAACTTGACATTTAACAAGCTTTTCATCCACGAACACAAGYGAAAGAAAGTGGTCGTGACTGACACGATTTTTACGAGGTCATAAATCATAGAATGAAGTCTCCATTGCGGGAACTAATCCCTTGCAATGCTTACTGTCTCAAAGTCGGAGGACGTGATCACAAGTTCAAACGAAAGGATTTTGAGAGGTAAAACAGTTTTAAAATCAAATGTTACATACATCATTGCAGTCACGCGTGTACGGTGAGTGGGCGTCCCTAGTATATTTTGGTTTATAATCGTTCATTCATTTGACATCCGATTTCTGACAATGCTCGGACAATGACATCAATCATACCACTTCGGTAATTAAGAAATATTTAAACAGTGCATTTTAAGGATAAGTGGTTTCTTTTAAGATATCATTCTAGGTAGTTTTTGGAAGCTACCCTGAGACGTGCTTCGAGGGAATTAGAAAAATTCTTTGACAATTTTAAGCGGATTGAAGTTATACTAAATACGTGAAGCTCTTGGGGTCATCAGTGAGTTAATCTGTGATTACATCTCTGGCAGTTGATTCAAGAGTATTCAGGCATATATACAATGCAACGGAAGTGAGCATCAAGTGTATTCCTCGACAGAGGCATCAGTCAAATGCCGCTATTACATCACAAGCACTACCAAGTCACTTTGCACTCCTCCAAGCAACTAAAGCTTTGTGACATTTCATTGTTGTTGAATGCGTTCCAAAGACTCTTTCTAGTGTTTACTCTCCGGCTCTAAAATATTGGAATTTATGCTAACGTAAACAAGTCTGCGTAGTTTGGTCATCAACAGCATTTACCGTGAGTGTTCAAAGCGTTCTCAAAAACAGCCCTCAAAAGAGACTACTGTACTAGCCCATTATAATAAAGTGGCTTGCCATTTGCTAATGAGGTTTGGTATTAATCTCTATATCATTGATGGTAGGGGTTTTGACCCTCTCAAATGGTTGTTCTAACTGTTATGATGGCGAGAAGACGGAGGGGTGCTCTACCAGTCATAACGGAGCCAGGATTCGTCGATCTAACCTCAACAGACAGAGAAAGCTGCAGCAACACTTGCAATAATAATGATGAGGTAAGCGTTGTCAAGTCAGTGATCTTTAATCGTACTAGACTTCTTAATCTTCCTGTTATCATTATAACAAATTCTAAATCTCTTCTAATAAAAAACAACTTCTACACTTAGTGCAAGTTTTAAACTTTTTAACAGTCTTTCAAAATGGATTTTTGCATATAAATTTGTGCAATTGTCATAATGAAATACTCAATGATAACTTAAATAGCAACATTGCTAATTGAGTTTAAATTCAGTATTGTAATCGCGTTCTTGGCTCGAATTAGTCACATCAGTTATATCTCATTACAGTTCAAAGTACATCCGAGAAAACTTCATTGCAAACTTCCTGAACTTTCACAATCTTGAAAATTTAATTTAAGCTTCCTTTGATTTTTACGTGATTACTGATTGAATGCAATATTCAAGGTTTTGAGTAGCCAGAATGGAATTTGAGTCATCATTTGATAATCTTTTACTACAATTTTCGCGATTAAATGAGTAAACTAATCTTTATATTGACATATCAGCCTTGATTAATCCAGGAACTTCGAGAATTTTTCAATTATTTGACATCAGGGTTATTCAAATTAAACGTTTATTTTCTTTAAGATTTTTTAACGGGTCATTAAAAGATTGCCCTCTTTTGTCAGGAATTTCACTGATTGTTTTTTAGGAGTTCTAGGTTCTGTTTTTATAAGCGTTTTTTTTCTCTTTGATTTTTTTTCTCTCTTTGAGTTTCTGAGGTAATGACATGAAAACAAATAATGGTATAGACGAGTTTGATTTAGACTTACTGATTAAAACTACAGCATCACGTACTGAGTCATGCGGGCCAGATTACTACGATATCAGACTCGATTGGAGCCAATGAAACAGTCTCGTGCTCCATCAATCCATCCACTCATCCATCCATCCATCCTTATAAAATAACTGTTATGAATGTCGCGTTCTGATTGGTTTGGAGCGCGTGCTTTATGAGAGCACATTGCACGCGCGCCCACTTTCCGTTGCGTCATTCCTATCTATTATTGTAATTTGTATTTTATAAAAGAAATAAAAAACTTGCTTGCTGTGCTGTGTGCAGTCATAAAGCACTTGGGGGTTGGCAGAACACTCGAGAAGTGTCGAGAAGCACTCCGCTACGCGTCGTGCTTCTCCTAACACTTCTCTCGAGTTCTGCCAACCCCCGCGTGCTTTATGACAGCACACAGCACGCGCGCGCGTTTTCTATTTCTTCAATGGGTGCATCCCATCCACCATGCCTCCCATCCTTCCATGTTCCCACGTATACACCTATTTCAGAAATCGTTGTCGCACCAAAAGCCTTAAGCAACAAGCCAAGACCGCAGAGAACGCCGGTACTTTTAGCTGTAATTAGTTTATTCATGGTGCATTTTTATTTATTGACTTCACAAATTGCTCCAAGCAAGGCTGCTTGAGATGATAATTAGTGTAGAGCTATAGCCACTTACATGAACCATGAATAAATCAATTATAATTAAAAGTACCTACGTTCTAGTGGAGCCATAGCTTGTTACTTGAGGCTCTTGGTGCGACAACGATCTTTGAAATAGGTGTATATCCTTCCGCATCATGCATATATGTGATTCATTCATAGATCCATCCATGTATCTCATCTATCTACCACTCCTTCCATCCATCCGTTTACCCATCTATACCTATCCCCATGATCCATAAAAGGATTTTGTCCAATCTCTAAACCAATCAAAAACGGAAGACTCCCGCCATCCAATCAGATTGCTTGATCAAGGAAGCCATTTAAGAGTCACGTTACCTTTTTTCCCCTGTAGTGAAATTGACCACCTTTCATGGTAGACGGCAGTTTTTGTATGACTGTGAAAAGCTCAGTGCCGTAAGCGTAACGTGCCGTAAGCGTAACGTGCCGTAACCGTGATGTTTTCTAATTTTTTCTCGCGCAATGTGATTGGTCTGACAGTGCCGTGACCTCGATGATTGGTCTGACGTATCTCTTTCCGTGTCACGACCGTGTTCGCGCCATGAACGTTTCACAAACACAACATAACTGCTCTAATGTTTCAATAATTAGAAAATGTGCACGAGCTCGAATCTCTGTCACAAAGCATGATGGGAAACCAAGTGCTTAAGCTTTTCCGGCTCAAATAAATTCGTCTCATGATTTTTTGTTTCAACATTCAGTAAATTTTATCAGCAATTTTCCCCTGATTTAGATATAGATATTAAATTTTAATACATTTTCTGTAACACCAAATCGTTTGATGTTCTGAACGCGCAAAATTAGCTTATATCCCATTCACAACAAGGCTTAAACATGTTTTAAAGTGGTTTAACTAAACAGGTTTGGAAAACTATCTACGAACACTGCACAATATTTGGTGAAATAATGCATGTAAACTATCCTTTGTCTTGCTCTGACAATATTTTAGAAAGTTTCATTATATTGTAGGTTTCTAGTTTCTCATTTTTTTCCTAATGAAAACATAGTTTAACTAAACACGTTTAGGTGTGAATGGGGTATTAGACTGAACTGATTATCAGTGTTTTGCAGATAAAAGCAGGTTTAGTGTACGTTCAATTGAAGAATGTTACATTTTGAGACTGTTTTTTGATCGGTCAACCCCACAAAGCGAGAACGTAGAGAACGACTATTTTCCTTCGCTTCTTAGCGACTTCTTTTGAAACGCGCACAACTTGTTCCTTCGAAAATTCCGTTTTCAAATTAAGCTATTGCTAAGCCGGCGATTGAAGGTCGTATTAATTTAAAATATTGCTTTTCTGCTCAAAAGAGCGGAACTATCTTAAATCCTTTGCTTGTATTTAAAGATTTACGCGGTTAAAACTTCCTCGCGCGAGATCGAAATCAACAAGCAAGTTTTCTTACCTAAAATGTTGATTTTTGAGACGCTTTAGATAGGTCATTAAATGATATTAGACCGCTGTAAATAATATACTATTTATTAACGATAGACTCTCATTTTAATCTGGTTTCTCTTTAAATAGAAAAATTCTAGTCAAACGAGTTTTTTCCCTTTTTTTTGTGTGTGTGTGAATAAATAAATAAATGTGAGTAAATAATTCAAATGAAATTGTGAATAAAGATCAGACTCTATAGAGTGGAGCCAAAACGATTGGATTAAAAGGTTTGCCATTATTTTGAATAGTATAAAGTTACACTTTAAAAAACCTTTTAGTCTATTACCGACTTAAAATAGATGAAAAATAAAAATAAAAACCCGAACGAAAAAAATATTCAGAAAATGACGGCTTAAAAAAAAAAAAAAAAAAAAAAAATCCATTAATAATTTCCATTTTTGGGAGATAAATTTTTCTTCCTTCAGGAAACTGATCAAGCGGTTTTTATTAGCATATAATACAGTCAGAGCTAGTCAGACATTTAATCTTGGAGAAGTGAGTCGATGTGTGCCAGATTGTTTGATTCCTAATAAAGCCCAAATCCGGAGCCACGAAGCGACCTGAATTGAATGCACTCATGAAGCCGTCGTCATTTTCTTTCAACTCAAAACCTCCACTCGATAAATGCTGTCGTTGAATGCTGAAGAATTGAATTTTCGCTTTAAGGAAGGTAAAAAAAAAAAAAAATGAAAAGTAGTAAAACGCCGTCGTCTCAAGGAAGAGCATCTAGCATGCCTAATGTGGTGAAAAAGGTTAGTTTCATACATTCGAGTTTTCGTGTTTTTACCTCGAACTTTAGAAGCCAATATTCAACATACAACAACATGCACCGACGATTCAAAAAATCCTTTCATTTGGGATTTAGATGATTTTGACCTTCAAAAATTAATTTGGCCACGGCTTTAAGTACATATTTTTTTCATTCTTTAGAGTAATAATTTTTATGGTGATTATTTGATCGTATTGAGATTTCTCCAGATAACTCATTGTTTGACGAGCGTTTCGAGTTCAAAAATAATCTCGAGTAACTTTCATGAAAGATAAATACTAAATCCTTCTACTAGAACAATAAATTTTGACCACGAACTAAAGAGGAAGCTTTTCTCTATGAATTTTTATTATTTCAAAACACTTATTTTCAAAATCCTATGCCGATTGTTGATTAAAAACGTAACTGAATAACTTGCTTCTTTTTGTTCATGGTTAGTAAATTGAACATTTCTATTTTCAGCAAATTGAAAAGCCCGGCTTCAAGTCTTATAATATTTAAGTAAATAAAGAGAATGATTTTCTGGACATTATTATTTCATTATTATTTTGATAACAAAATTCTGTTGTTTGCTCTGTTTATTTTTCTACTTTGTAATGATCGTAAGTTCACTTCAAATGAGAAAAATGCAATATCAATGATATTAAGAAGCGAAGATTGAATAGCGACTCATGATATGAGCTTCAGTGGAAAAAAATGTCACTATTTTTCTCTTAGGTTTTCAAAAAGTGAACAATAGGCGGATTAAGTTTCCCGTTCTTCCCTACATTTCACTTTACCTTTTACAAACCTTCTCAACAAAGACAAGTATTCTTTTGTTGATCTACTACTGGAGATTTTTGCGATTTGTTTTCACAGAATTTTTTAATGGTCAACATAAATACATTGTGATAAAAATTTGCCAGGAAGACCTGATCATCGCTGAGACCCAACGTGTGGCAGCTGAATGCAGCAATCTATTCGTATTCTATGTTTTCCGCTTAGTTAGAGGTTTTCGTCTATAATTTCCCGTTGAAATGACGAGAGTTGTCTATTAAAAAACGTTAATACGTCAATAGTCGTTCACTTCGGCTTCATCAAAAAAAAATAATCAAAAATACTTGTAAACTACACCAGAGATAGAGAGAGAGAGGGAGAGAAAAGTGCAAAACAAGCTAAAACAATGAGTGTAAAAATATAAGATAAAGGAAGGGTTTTTTTTTTTGTGTTGTATCGATGTTAGTACTAGATTTGATGCGTTTTAAAAATGCTACGCAGCCCCCTCCCTCTATAGTGTAGGCTGTAGGGGAAACCTTTCACAATCACCGAACCTGCTTGCTCCCAGTTTATTTTAAAACCTTTAAAAACTAAGATTTTCTCAAACTAAGATGCGCCGGAACGATGGAGTGCCATACGGTCAGCAGTCTTTACATGAGTTGGGAAACACGCAACAGTAACTCTCAAATGGCTTCTTAATTCAATAGCCATGATCGGACAATAAGTATTGAATGCTTTCTGATTGGTTCAAACGTGAAAGACATATGAGTGTCTATATATCTCAAGTCCCTCTTAGTCAAAATCAGATCTAATTCGAGCAATTTCTTATTTCTTTTAATTGAGATTTTTCTTTTGTCTTCCAGCAAAGTATTAGCAAGGTTTTACTAAAACCTCCCAGCGTCGCAGACGAAGCATCCTGCGCATGCTCAGTAGAAAGATATAAGTTGACAGTTGTTGGAGACAGCGAATGCGGCAAGACGTCGCTTTTAAACGCACTGGTAAAAAGTGATTTTGATTTTGAGGTAAGACCAAAGTATTATTGCAAACTCCATCTATTATGTATCAGCCTATTTGTTAATAGGCGCAGATATTTTGGATATATTTCTCTTATTTTACCAACATGGCGTCCATTGCCTTTTGTCATACACCTGCAATCATCTCCAGAACGGCTAAAAAATAATAAGATCTCATCAGTGAAATTTAAACGAAAGTTTGGCAAGGGAAAAAAATCTTGAATCATATTGATTCGTCTTGTTATTGCCAAATCAATTCCAATATCTCCGAAGGTGGTTGGGCTTCCTTTGGTTTTGTATTGATGGGCTTCCTTTGGTTTTGTATTGGTTGATAATACACTGCTTAATAGATCGTTTCAATAATTTCATTTATTTGCATTGCAGGTAGAAGAGAGCGCGATCTTCGACGAGTGCGTGACTGACATCAAATCAGGAGACAGCAGCTTAGAGTTTATGTTGTGTGACTGCTCAGGTAGGCCAGAATGCGTTACTGAAAACGTGACATCCATGTTTATAGTTACTTTTTTGAGATTATACCTTGATTTCTTTTGTAGGTCTCGAAAACTATGAGAGTATACGACGTTATATGTATGCAGAAACCGATGTTTTTCTTCTCTGTTTTGATATCGGGAATCCGTCTTCTCTAGATAATATCGTCAGTAAGGTGCGTATATTGGGTTCCTGTGGGTTTTTTTGTGGTCCATCAGTGTTTTCTCAGCTTGCGTTCTAGTATTATGCATCTGCCAGCGTGGCGGTCCTCTTTATGGGAGACCACAGACTTGAGTGTCTTTCTTTATGGGCCTTTTTCACGCGGCAGCCATGTTGGTTTGAGTAATAGATTCCTCTACGCGTAGCCTCGCATCGAAGTGCTTTAAAAAAAAGTATGCGAGTTAAACATTGATTTTTATTCTCATTAGTAGTAAACATGGCCGCCTTGTGATAAAGATCAATAATCAGTGTGTGTTTTGTTTCTACCTAAAGTTTTATCATTGGGTTCCCTGTGTTTAATGGGGTCCCTGAGTTTTCTTTGTTATTTTTCAAAAGCACTCTTGAAACCAGTGCTATGTCATTCTTACTGCACGTGCTCTGGCATTTCGTCGAGCATGCGTAGTAAGAAATGACAGAGGGTCGAGAGTCAATCTCATCCCCAGTTCCTCGGTACTGACCGGGAGTAACGCAAGCTCTGAGGAAGAGTTTGGAACCCCGTTGAGCATGCGCAGTATGAAATGACAGTGTCGA